CTCCCAGAATACTGGTGATCAATATAACATCTGCTATTACGCTGACATTGCAAAGATGGAAAAGGTCAGACACTCTCAGAATTTCAATACTGCCAAATGTATCAAATCTATAAACGATAAATCTCCAGGTCATAGTTTCTGCATGTCACCAGTATAAAAACTGCATTAAGCTGAGTAATTCGAGGTTATGTAACTAAAATGATGGCTTTTTTCCTCAACTTTTTTTAAAGTATGAAGTAAGCAGCTCTAAATAAACTAATATTTTAGATGATAAAAGTTAGACAGACTGACCTATAAACCCAAGATACAGGTGATGCTTTAAAAAACTTACAAAAGTACACTGTACTCAACGATTTGCATTATGAAACACTAAGTTTTTTTTCAATGAAATTATCACCACTCTTCCCAGAAATAACATAAGTGAATGAAAATAAATGAATCATCAGGAGAAGAAAGTCTCACTTTAAAATAAATTCTAAAAATACTCCTTGAAATATTTACCTGGAGAAATTCTAGGTACATTAGCAATTCCAAATTCAAAATATTATGAGACAAACAATAAGAAAAATAAGTTACATGATTTCATTTCCAAATGACCTAAGCAATGCTGTAATGGATTTATTTACTATAGTAAATGCCAATACTAACACACACACACACACACACACACACAAACCCACCACTCTTTCAAACTTTGCATTAATAGAGATATTTACATTTCAATTATTTATTCTGAAAGTTTACTAAAAGGGCAAATTTTGTCACAAACTCCTTGCATTCTGAAGCTTTTGGTTTATCACATAAAGGTGAGTTTCAAAAAACTTCAGGGACAATTGAAAAATAAAAATAACTGTAGATTGTTTACTATATTGTTTCATCGTATCACAAAAAAAATCAGCACATATTAAAATAAAATTCCTAATAACCTATCTTGAAACCTACCAGAATACGTACTTTGAAATCATAAACTTTATATTCAAAAGTCTAAGTCAATGTTAACACTGTGCTATGATGCTATCAGTGACGATGACTATCGCCATAAACAGCCAGTGTTATGTCAACAGAAATACTCCGTTTCCATGAGGAATCATGTAAATAAAAAGAACATGGAATTCATAGTGTCAGATTTTATAAAAAGAAAGATCTAATTTTAAAAATACACACACAATACTACTCAGCTTTTCAAGTAACATGATTGGTCACCCCTCCTCACTTTTACTTTAAAATGATAAATGGAAAGGAGATTTTTCTATCCAAACTACCCTGAAAACCAGGGACCTGTAACAAAAAAATGCTTGAAATCAGATTAGCAAATACATTAAGGGATACTCTATTTTGATTCTTCAAAGGAAAGCACAGAGCCACTTGGTAGTTTTACTGGCATACCCTAGAAAGTTCCTTGTTCAATGTATCTACTTGAAAATGAAGAAACAGAGGCTGAGAGACATTGTGACTCATCCAAGGTCACAGTTTTACTTGTGTCCAAGCTGACAAGGGAACTCCAATCTATACGACCCAACTAGGTTCAGTGTCTACTCTAAGGGCTTTACATTTAGCTTTGTCATAATTTACTTTACAATTTGGCACTCAGACCATCCATTCTCTGGAAATTATTAACAGACAAATGACTTTCGTCACCTCTGTCACAGAATGCCTTAGACTGAAACAAAGGCAACACACGCCTCGTGGCCATTACTCCTATTTCTGTCAGCTTGAAAATTTAATCTAGGTGAGAATCAGTTTTCTTATTTGAATAGGACACTCCTTCCTCAGAATAATATTCAGTAAGGCTAATACAAATAATGTGGTATCCCTTCTTCATTAACCTCTGTAAGATGCAGAGAATAGAACTGTAGTTCTCAACTTCTGGGTCTCAGAACGCCTTTTCACTCTTAAAAGGTACAGAGGACTCTGAAGAACTTCTGTTGTGTATGTGAATTATAGCCATTGATACCATATTAGAAATTGAAACTAATATTAAATTAGTTTATATTAAATTAGAAATTAAAACTAATATTTTTAATCTGTAAAAAATAATAGGTCATTGTGAGTTAACACGAACATATGAAAAAAATAACTATTATTTCCCCGAGTGAAAAACTTCAGTGGGATTGGCACTGTCTCATATTTTCCCAAGTTAACAGAAGACAGCCAAGTTTTCCTATCTTCTTCTGCATTCAATGCATAGTGCCATGCTTTGCTTCAAGTACATGAAGAAAAATCTGCCCCCATGCAGATATGATGTTAGGAAAGGGAAGGAATATTTGAATACTCTTTTCAGATAATTGTAGATATAATTATTTGATACCACATTGAAAATTAACAGTGAGTAGTTTCTTAAAGGTCAGTTGTAATGTGAAATCTGAAACAATATCAACGAACTTTTCACACATTATTATATTTAAACCCATTGGTCTTTCTTCCATTTCAAATGGATATTTTAACAACACATGATTTCTGACTTCATGAACCTCTTTGGAAAGGTCTCAGGAGCCCCCAAACCATTTTGAGATCTAACAGAAAATACTGTAGTTCAGAGTTCAATCTAATGATGAAGGGTACTGTTAAGTCTATAAGCAGTACACACTGCTCTGATCCTCTGTGATGTTTAATTCACTAATTTATTAAACATTCCCTGAAATGAGGTATCATCATCCTATATTAAGAAATAAGCAAAAAGGTTGAATTTGGGTCCAAAAAACACAAAATAAAAGACCAATGAAGCCTAAATGAGGTTAAACTAAACATTATAACATGCAGACCAAAATACAGAAAAATATCTAAATACCCTCTGGTCCTTGAGCCTTTATTCTGAGAATGATCAACGCAAATAGGTTTGGATAATATTCACCAGGAAAAATTGCAAATAATTATTAGACGCCATCTCCAGGGTCCATGAATGCCGGATAGGCTCAAAGTGACTGATTCACACTAACATGTCTAAGGCTATGGACAGGTCATTGGATCATCAGCAGGGGCATCACGAGCTGAGTGTGAAAATCACATTTAAAATAGTAGAAATGGGACACAGAACAAACATAAAAGACAATACATACACATAAAAAACATAAAAAACAATTAATGATTTTAGCTACTAGATCTCTAATATTTCTACCAGAAGTATTATTACACAAAGCAATAGTTTTCAAAACTAAAAAAAAGCACAACTAGAATTATAGTAGCAAAGGTATAGTGCCTAATCATTTTTTAAAAATCAGCATTTATCATAAGAAATTATTTAAATATCTGTCAAAACATTTACTATTTCAAACATTTCTTTAAAAGAGTAGTGGCATTTCATATGACGGAGAAGGAAGAAAACTAAAAAAAATGGAAACTAAAGACTATGAAATTATTTTGTAATAATAGCGAAAACGTATCATGCATACTAATATACCGGAAGAAATTCAAAGTACTTCTCAGAAATAAACTCATTTAAATTATCTTAACTACCTTTAAGGTGGGTACTATTTAATCCATTTAAACAGATAAGAAAACTAATGCCCAGAGAGGTGGTGAGATATGCACAGGGACACAGAGCTGGGATTTCATCCAGGGATGCTCCTAACTACCTAAATATGCTACCTCAAGCTAACTCGCTAAAAACATCATTTACAAAAATAACCACATCACGTGGAGAAATTTCCTTCTCTAAAAGTAAAGCAAAGTACTAGCAGTAAAACACCTGCAGAGTTTGGTTATGAAGGCAGCAGTGCTATCTCATGACTCATGTGAGAGTTTAGAATTCAAGACACAGCATTAGAATGTGATCGACAAGTTCATGCCACAGAGAGCTATCAGAATGTATCCTTTATGTAAGGTTTGCTTCCATAAAAGCAAGACAAACAAGGTTTGAGCCAGTGACAATGAAATGAATGCACAAATTAAAGTTTTAACTTTGGGTCTGGAAAAAACAACAGGGGAAAGATGTAGGAATACACATTAAACTCTATATCCTGTTAATAAGATGGACATATTTCCCATAACTTCATAAAGGAAAACATTCACATATTCCTAGATGCCAAAAGAATGAACTATCTTGAGGAGACTATTCTTTATATATTCCATAAAGAGATCATTTGTCACAACCATGTAATAAAATGAGTACTAAAGCAAAGTCCAATGGAAGTATTCATTGTATAACTTAGAACCACCCTTCACAGTCATATCCAAAACCTCTTCCTTGTGTTTTTCTAAACACATGCAACATGCTATCTGTAACAAGGAAAGCCAAGAGATATTTTACAGTAAATAAAGTATGTCTTCCTGCAGATCTGAAAGGTTATAAATATACCAATTCAAAACTATAGTGACATATTTCACTTCCAATATGAGTAAGAAAGCAAGATTGTCCACTTAGTAATTTTAGGTGTGCTGAGTCTTTAAAAGGCCTCAACAGTTAAGGAAATGATTTATTTGTATTGAAAACCACAACTTTCACATAATTAACCGACCAAGAAGAGGGCAGGAGCGGGGGAAGCTTACGGGTAACAGATTTGGGATCCAATTTTATTTTTTACAACCAATGAAGTAATTCATAAAGAAAGCTAAGAAAAAAGACTAAGATGACAAAGAAACTAATTTAAAGTAATTTTAGTTAACTAGCAGACAGCTAAAGGGGGAAAAAATCTAGCACTGGTCGACGAAAATAAATATATGAACTAGCAGTTAAAAATAATCATCATTTTTCCAAACATGTAAAACAGGCAAAGGAGGGAAGGGGGAACACCTACATATGCCCCTTAAAAGTCAACACAGCTATTTTCTAGGAGATCTTAAGAAGTTTTTGTTTCTCTACTTCAAAACAGGAACAACATTCTATCAACATGCAATGAGTAGGGGCACTAAATTACCATCCTTAAAATAAAATGAAACAAGAAGTTGAAATGTGTTTAAATTTGTCAATTATAAAGTTAAAGCTAACCTTCAACATTTACTAAAGGCATTATTTAAATTAAAAAAGAAAGAAAGAAAGAAAGAAAAACAAAAAAACAACTTACCTTGATACATTTTCTGGAATGTATTCTAGGACCGGATATCCATCACTTCTTCTAGATGACAGGTCACTGTGTGATTTCCATGACTCCACTAAAGTATTGACAGGAGGAAAGGAACTCAGGTGTTGGAAAGATTGGTCTCTAGCCGAACGTGATAAAGATATTGTACCTTGAGCACCAATCCTGTAGTGAAAGGACTGCCCACCTGAATTCACACCAACTATGGCAGACGAAGGGATGCTGGCCTCTGGGTAATAGCTCCCATCATCTGGTTCTTGTTTGATCCCCACTGGGAACCCACTGCCTTCACAGTTACCATCAAAGCCTGGCACAGGTGGTCCTAAAATTCCTGATAGAGAATAATAGTCTTTATCATCCATAAAGGAAAAATACGAGCCATCCATAAATGGAAATGGGTTTACTGTTGGATTCCCTTTAAAAGAGGCGCCTGAACATGAATGCTTGGTTGATTCTTGTTTTATTGGTACTGAAAACGGAGACTCTGAATTTATTTTGCTGTTTCCTGCCAGACATGAGCTGCTAAAAGCGCCATCCGGTTCTGGTTTTATGTACTGGACAATGCTAAGCTGGCCAGTCCCACCGTTGGAGATGGCACTCTCCACCTCCTCAGTCTTAGGAAAAGGGACTTCTTGAGCACCTTTCTCGTGTGTGTCTGGACTAGGAGCCACATCCCGGGTGGCACTGGGTCCAGTGGAGGTGCCAGAAGTGGCGTAGCTGAAGGCATGGTTTACAGGGCTACAGATAGATCCCACAGTACTGGCTGCCGGGCTGGAAAGCGTGGATCTGTTATTGGTATTGGAAGGGCTGGAAACAGAGCACCTTGAGTTGTTGATATTTGCAGGGCTGGACACAGAGGATCGCAGAGTGATGTTGTTAGGACTGGAGACTGGAGATTTTACACTGCAGTGACTTGGAGGACTAGAAATTGGGGATTTCATGCTACTTAATGGGCTTGAGAGAGGAGAGGCCACATTGCTAGCGTGTGTGGGGCTGTGTGACCTGGAGCCTCGATTTTCTACGTTAGGGGAGCAAGTCAGAGGAGTTCCCTGGGTGATGGGGCTGTGCACTGGGAAACTGCCAAAGCTGGCCGTAGTGGAGGACACAGAGTTGATTCCAGCAGGGCTGCAAACCGAAGATGTCATGTTCAGAGGGCTGCAAACAGACGGGCTCTTCTCATGACCCACGATGGGGCTTTTCACAACGGCACGCATGACCCCGCCATTCACGGAGCTCCCAGAGTCGGACATAAATGATCTCAAGGGCCTGCTCACACTGCTTAGAGTGGAAGGACGATGGCCATTTTCTTTGTAAAATTTTACCAGCTGTTCAACATTTTGATAAATCTTCGCTGGGCTCATGCTTCCTTGTGGGTTGTGCTGGTCGTAGGCATAGTCGGCATCCCTTACGGAATCCATGTACAAACCCATGGACTCAGCAACAGTTGCTGAAAGTTCCTTAGATTCCAGCTCAGTTTTAATATCAGATGTTAAAATCCCAGGACGATTATGGTCTTGCTGAAGGCAAGGGAGTAGTTCGTGTTTTTCTTTGCTGCTTCCTTGAGTACTGTTGTTTGGAATAGCACCGGAAACACAGCTGACGTCGACAATCTCCATATAGTTACTCTCATCAGTCCTCTCTGTAGGTCCCAGGGAAGAGCGCTCCACAGTCTGAGAAGCTTGACCCCACCGTCTTTCCATATCTAGACCTTCAGGGAGACTGTGGTAGCCTTTGGTCTCCATAGCTAACAAATAAATTTGTATTAGAAAATTAGAGTCAGCAATATCCCTCTAAAAGACATTCTAAAATTGCATTTACTAAGCCCCCCCCAAAAAACATACTCCATTTCCTATAAGCAATATTTCCAGTTAAATTAAAACTGTTACCTTCTCGGGTGCTGACATCACAGAGTATTGACTATAATTTGTCCTGATGCCAGAATAAGAGAAGCAATCATATAGAAGCATTTTGCATCTAAATAAAAGTAGCATATTTGCTATACTGCAGCCTTTGGCGTTCAAAGGAATACCTACAAAGGTTAGCTTTTTTAATATTCAAAGTAATCCTAGAAGCTGACAAGGCAACCAAAGGAAGAAACTGAGGACTTAGTGGGGGGGAAGAGTGACTTGCCCAAGTCAAAGACACAGTTAGTGACAAAGTTGGGTTTAAAGTTAATCTTCTAACTCCAATGCCTTTGGAGCCTTACTTCATACAGAAGCTGCCTTCCATATCTAATACATGGCCTAGTTAAAAACAGTATGGAAATGCAATTAAAGTTACCATTTCCAATATAAACTTACCAAGTGAATTACCATAGTAAGAAAATTAATGAATTATTTTTAAGCTAGTAAGACTTTCTTAAGATGGATTAGTGATAAAGATCATTCAGTAACAATTCTGGAAAGCAAAGATTTGTATATCCTGAGTATGGTAGCACACCACTCAGTTTCACCACTGTATGGCAACTCAGGAATGTCAGGACTTGTCTCTGTATTTCAGTCTTAACATGGACTGACATGCAGCCTACCTAGTGATGTTGCTATTAAAAAGGCTCCTAACAGTTTTACTCTCAAAAATAAATGAAGGAAGTTTGAGAGAGGTCCGGAAAATTTAAACATTCATTCATTCAACAATATTTACCAAGTGCTTACTGCATCCTGGGCCTAAAACCAGTCACTGAATCTGCAGTGTTAAAACAGGTACAATTCCCATCTTCAAAGAGCCCACAGGGTGGTTTTAGAGATATAACCATATCCATCAGCTCTACAGATAAATTTATTTCATGGACAGATTATAATAGGCTATGTTTATATAACTCTTGCACATGATATAATTCAGTGTGGCATTACAAGCCTTTTGAATATAGTAACTCATTTGTCCTTACAAACGACTCTCAAAAACTGGCAGAAGCATTATCTAAATGATGCAAGTGAGAAAACTGAGGCATCGACCACACAACTGAGCATCAGAACTAGCATTCGATCCCAGGTCTCTCTATGTCCCAGGGTTTCTCAAACTTGGCATTATTATGACTTTAGGCCCAATAATTCTTAGTTGTGGAGGTCTGCCCTATGTATTGTAAGATGTGTAGCAGTATCCCTAACCCCTATCCACTAGATGCCAGTAGCATTCCCTCTCACCAGTTGCGACAACCAAAAATGTCTTCAGACATTATTAAAATACCCCTGGGGAGCTGGGGGTGGGGAGGGTGGGGTGCAAAATCACTTCAGTTGAGAACCACCACACTAAAAAAAACATATCTTTTAAAAAACTAACTCATCCACAGTACAATTTTATTTTATACATTTTAGTACTTTAAAGCGCCTAAAATCTGCGTGTATGCATTTTTCGAATCTTTTTAAGTCCGTAAACATCTATGACTCAATGAAAGTCCTGATCGCAAAGATGCTGTTACTGCCACTCTGTACATAAGCGTTCCTTCAGGTTTTCTCCCCTGCCACTCATCACCTCCAACTTCCCTGCCTTCCCCTCATTAAAAAAAGAGATGAGGAAGTCCTTTTGTTATTGAACTATATTAACTCATGTTGAAGAATAATATAATGGCTCTACTAACTAGACTGGATCTATGATGAAATGTGATGCTCAAATTTTTCAAGTATTATAGTAACCTTTCACTTTTCTATTTTCCACAGTCAATTTTAAGTTCTGAAAAAGTAGAAACTATTGGCTTCACCACTGTATCCCAAGTGGAAAGCATATCACAATGAAAAAGATGTGAAAATATCATAATTGATACTCAATTTGTGAACATTAAAATCTACCAGTTATGTACTTTATTTTTATTTAAAGAACATTATCCTCTGACTTCCTAATCAAAAGTCAATCACAAAAAAGAGACAGTAAATAAAATTACAAAGGTTGAGGTAGTTATCTGCTAATACTAGCCAAAAAATTTGGTGTGGATGAAAGCCAAGTAAGAGTTAAAAGAAAAAACAAAACAAAACAGTGAATTGGGACCTACATGATTATTAATGGCCCTTTCTACTTTACTAAAAAACTATTTAGTCATAGCTATAAATTAAAAAAATCAGTAAATATTATGTGCTTCTAAGGCTACGTAAGAAAATTTTGTCCTCCCTGTGTCAAAGATGAATGAATATATAGTTAAGGTATAAATGGTCCAGGACCAAATTTGTTAACCACATGAAACACACCTATTCATGTTCAAAATGGAACATCTCCTGTGCATCTTACCCCCGCATGTGCCCAAACTCACATTCCCTCTCTTGGCAAACTGTACCACCATCTACCCAAATGCCTGAAAGTTACTCTTGCCATACCAAAAGGCCTCCACCAGTACAGGTCTCCTCACGCACACACAGTCATAGCCTCGTTCTCTCTCCCTGGTCCCAAGCAATAGAGCTCGCTGCCTGAGTCTGAATGGGGACCCTTGCCCCAACCCTCTCCAAAAATCTGCCCTCCAAATTGTCTTTTGGGAAGGGTGGTCACTCAAGGCTCTTTTGAAGTTTCACAGTAGACGTGTGCATGCCAAAAACTCTGGGAGATTCTTTAGTGCAGAAAATAGTTTACTTTTCAATCCAGTATTCCCTAAATAATCTGGCCACTACACCCTTTTTTCATAGAACACCTACTAAGATTCAGGACACTTTTCAGCACTCTTCCTTAAAGCATATGCCATATCCCAGATTTGCGAGGCTATATGAAGACTTGAAGAGAAGCTATGTGGGAGATGGTGGCCACCAAAGAGTCTTAAAGCGCTCTACAAGGAAGTGCCTTATCACCTAACATCATACAGCTGATCACAACTTTTCTAGTCCTGTTGGCTCACCTTGAACTCTCTTAATAATCTAAAACAGCCTGTATTTCACATTATTGACAGGCTCTCATTAAGAATTTGCAAAAGACCTAGAGGAAATCTAATTAGCTTTGCTTAAGCTCTTCTCATCCACCAGTCTAATGCACCTCTCAACAAAGGAAATAGAGGAAAGGTTGGCAATAGTCAGACACAAAAGAAAAGAGGACATCTAGCATCTGTATGACTTTCACTGCAAAGTCTTTTAAGCTCAGATTTCTCAAATATAGTATTGAAATATTTTATGTAGAATTCCCCCCATTATTTTAATTTATCTTTTCTGTAAACAAACGAAACAGGTTAGCAATTTGCTTCCTATGCCGTCCAGAAACCAAGGTTGTCTTTTCAGAAGTGGCACAATGACCAAGGCTTGAGCTGAATTTCAGTCAACCAGAACTTACCAGTGAATACCAAAAATACTAGTTATGAATATGATCCTCGTAGAACTTAATACTTGGAGGGTGAGGTTTTTGTTACTAATACAAATATAAGTATACAAACCTAATGTGTAAAATCAGGCTCCTCTGCCTCAAAATGGAAATTATAGGAGAGACTCTCTTGGGACAAAGGCAAAAACCATTATGAACCTTTCATTTTCATGCAAATGGCCTCCCACCAGAATGTAAAGGAAATTCACATGCGTAAGGAAAAGCACTGATGGAAGTGCTACTTTAAGCAATTTATATGCTCTCAAAACTATTTTTGCAAAGGAAAACCTAACTTTAAAATTTCATGTCTTAGAGTCTGTGCTAAATTGTCCTTTTCCATAAGGAAGTAGTTTTTCCAGGAATATCACCAAAGATCCTTGCAAATTTGTACTTTATACTTTCACTTTTAATATCCCCCCAAACAGAGTCTCATCGTGATAGAAATGACATGATGGAAAAGGCATCATTGGACATAGTTATTTCACTATAATATGGCACCTTTAAGAACAGGCATATGATTTTCACAGTCATCACTAGGCTGCAGAGTTGTAAAAGTTCACTATAGGTAGCTATTATTTGTCATTCACCACTACAGAACTATTATGTTCCCCTCTTTTATAGATCAGGAAATGATAGAAATCTGCCCAAGGTCACCTAAGAGAGCGGGAGAACCAGTTAGAACTAAGCACACCTGATTTCTATTCACTCACCTAATTTACTGAGCCACCTGATCTTTCCAAAATCCCCAAACAAAACTATGTCTCCCTTAAAGGAAAAAGCTCCACTTTCAAAGATTTTTTAAAACTTCTCTCCTCAAGCATTTCCAAGATAGCTCTCACGATGTCAAACATAAAATTAAAACTTCGCAGCAGGACTTCACAGATGGAGAATGCTGTTATCATTACTATGTGAATATCATCAATAACAGCACCTACAGAAATGGCAATACGAAATGGGAAGATGCAATTTGGTGCATTTAAAATTCGGCGGCCTCAAAAAGGTCTGCTATCAAAAGTTTTCCTAACTCCTATGTTATAATAGATAATTCAAACTGATGGTGCCACAGACCATGACGATCTAAAGCTGGTCTTCTTAAATTCAGTAGGTAAAGCCACGCACCTAAAATTCAGGAGAAGGGCGAGGATGCCACCCAAAGAAGCTTCACCCCTTTTCCCCTGCCCCTAAATTTCCCACTGATGCCGCAGGAAGCGTAGCCTCTCGCAAGAGTTTCGCACGAATTTCCAGAGCCCTTTTCATACAGGATCTATAAGATCTATATCTCCTTCAACTGCCCTTATCCGCTACACCTCCGGCTGAGATTTGGGAGCTTCCGCAAATGACAGAGGAAAGAAACATTATTCAAACGTCCTTTAAAAATTGTACAAGGAAAAGGATCCGAAATTCATCTCTGAGGAAAGGGAAGGGTGGTAGACCTCCCATTGCCAAAGGCGGTTAAAAGCTGCTAGTTAGAGGGCATTTATCCAAAGTGGCCAAACTTTCCCAAAATAGTCCTCTGGCGGCCAAAGGGGGGGAAAGTGGAAAACAAAACAACAAGCACACAGCACCATACTGACTGTGCCTCCGGATTACGCAGCCACTTCTCCCTGCAAAGTGCACGCTCCCGCGCCGCGGCCGCACGCCGAGCAGGACGAGCGGCGCCCGGCCGCGCACCCCTACACACCTGCCTCGGCCGGGGTCCGTCTCTCGCCGTCTACCTGTTGCAGCGCGTGCCACCGCCACGACAGCCCTGCTGCGGAGCCCCCCCAAATCCAACCACATCCAGGCCAGCGAGTGCCGCTCTCCCTGCAGCGGGAGAGCCCGAGGCAGCAACGCTCTTGCACCCAGGTGACTGCACGGGCTTCCTTTGAGCAGCCTGAAGTTGGCTGGCGTCTCCCAATGACACCCCGGGCGCGGAGGGGCTGAGAGGAGGGGGCAGGGGCAGGGCCAGGACGGGCACAGGGAAGGGAAGAAAAAAAAAAAAAAAAAAAAAAGGAGGGAGAGAGGGCGGGCGAAAGCCCGGAGGGGGGAGTGGGCCAGCTGGAGGGCCGGCCCTTTTAAAAGCGGGTCACATGTCCAGATAAAAGTTCAGGTTGCTCGCCCGCCCCCCTGAGTCTTTCCTATTGGCCCGGAGGGAAGCAAGGCTCCACGCTGCACGGGTCAGGCGGGCTTCTTATTGGACAGGCCCGGCTGTCAGTCACCGGGCGGGCGACATGACTGATACAAAGTTGCTGCGACACAGCCTGGACTCGGCAGCTTCCTTAAAGCCGCAGCAGCGGCGGGAGCCCTGGGTGCCGGGCGGTGGCTACGACACCAGGCCCCCTCCGCACGCCGTCCCCGCCCCCTCGCCCCGCCGCCCCAAACTTGCACCCTCCCACCCTGCTCGCCTCCTGGCGGACCCCAGGGTGTCTGGAGAGACCGAAAGAGTGTGGTGACGCGGAAGAAGTCGGTTTTCCCCCGAGCAGTTGAAGTGTCGTCCCCTCACGCTCTCCACCTGCAGCGCCAGGTGAGCGGCAGCCCGGACCCTGGCGCCGCCCACAGCGTCCGCGCGCGGGGAGGACGCCGGGTGGGCTTCACACGACCCCGGAGGCGCCTCTCCCCGCCCCTTTCCTCTGTCACCGAGTTACCTCTCAGCAGAGCAGCCGCAGCCTCCGCTGCCAGCGAGCAAGAGGATCACGTTCCCACTCGATTTGAATTTCCTTGTTTTAACTGTGCAGGAAAAGCCCTTTAAACACAGCCTTCCTCCCACCCTCTAGCCCCCCACCACCAAAGCCGGGGGAGGGGGCAGGTCAAGAGCCGCCGCTCTCCTTCCCTGTAATTTTGTTACTGTACTTACTACTTGAGTCTTGGATTTTTCCACTAGTTCAACTGGAAAGGGAGCTTACCATCGAGGATATTCATTTTATAATGGGGGACCGAGGGGGGTACATAACTGGGCAACAGACAGGAGGGGGAAGGAAGCAAACTGTTTTCTAAGGATCGAGTGTCTGTCTGCACGAAGAAATTTCGGTTTCCCTCCAACCGCCCCCCCTCGATTCTCCTCCCGCCCACCCAAATGCTGCAGTTACTAAGCAAAAGGATGGGCTTCTTAACTTTGATTTCTAAGGACTTTAGGGCTCCGCGTATGAGGCTCCGTTTTAGGCTCCGGGCTGGCCCGGAGTCAACATCCGTGACGTACACACCTAAATCTGGTCCCCCGGCCCTCGGCGACCCGCAGCCTGGCGGCAGCAGCTGTGTCACCTCCCGCCTCACCCTTGGTCCGCACCAGCCGAAGCCTGGGGCGGGGGCGGGGGGCTACACCCTGTGCCCAAAGGCCCCTCCTCTCCTTACAGTTAGTGAAGCTTCGGGATTCCCGACCCCCAGCCCAGGGAGGGACTCGAACTCTCGGCCGCCCCAGCCGTGAGCGCCCTGCCGGTAGGGCGACAGTGACAGCGACGGCGCCGCGCGCCGGTCCCGACCCCGACGCCCCACAGTCCCCGGCGCGCAGCGGCCCCCGGCGTCCCCGCCGCCGGGAGTCCCAGCCGAGTGTCCCAACTTTCCCGCGGGGCCCGCCGTCACGCGCGCTCTGCCGGCCCGGCGGGCGGTCGGGCATCGATCGCACCCCGGGCCGA